GATGTCACGTTATAATCAAAACACTGTGTAGCAACCAGCCCTGAAAAATAATAGACCAATATGCCTCTGTAAGATTGTTATTCATGTGTCTGTGTGCTATCTTTGACAGTGTCTTTTTTTTTTTGTTCTTCTCTTCTTTTCTTCTCATCTCCCTCTTGACAGGAGAGAAGCCATTCTCCTGCCCTCACTGCAACAGGGCCTTTGCGGACAGGTCCAATCTCAGGGCTCACCTACAGACTCATTCGGATGTGAAAAAATACCAATGCAAGAACTGCTCCAAAACCTTCTCCAGGATGTCTCTTCTGCACAAGCATGAGGAATCTGGTTGTTGTGTAGCACACTGAACTGGGATACTTTTCCACCACCAGCAGAAGAAGAAGAAGAAAAAAAAACCCCTCTTGTTGCTTCTTTAATTTTCCCAGGAGAACTGTCAGGGAATCACATCGAAGGGGGTTTGTTCCCAAATATGCAGACTGTTTTTTCTCTTCTTTTTTGTTTTTTCAAGCGGTCCATTTCATTTCAAAGTGAGAAATAGCTCTGTGCTCACGTGCTTCTCGTTTCAAGCAGTGTTTCTGTGTTGAGCTTTGTCATGTACTCACCTACCTGTGCTATTCATGCACTTTTTCTGCATGTCTAGAATGTCTTGTATGCCTTTTACAATGTTATCTTCAGTGTTTTGTATAATCTATCAATGGCTGTTATGCAGTCCTCCACTTTTTTTTATACGCACCACACAAACGATACCAAAAAAAGGCGCATTATGAATGAGAGTACACATATAACTAGAGGAATACTGAAGCCATTGTTACTTAGGGAACAAGTGCAAACTTAGTTTTTAGGGTGAAATTATTATAACATTTGCACAGTCATTAGAAACAGTTTGCCAGCACTCAAATAGCAGAACAAACCTTCTCAAGTGCCTCAGTTTTTTATGCAATAATATTGTATTCTTCAACAGTTTCCTGTTATATTTTTATATATTGAATGTAAGCATGACTGAGATGATTGTATATTTACAGTGAAAACTGTGATGCTGAATGACTTTTGATATTTTCATATTTTCATGACACTTTAAGAAATAAAGTTTCATGACATTTTGTATAATTTTTGTTGGTATCTTTGAAGTTGCTTTTTTATTTTTTTTTTATCCGTGGAGCCTTTGGTTGCAGCATGAGCAAGCTCATTCATGAGGACTCAGCAGCATTCGTTGATTGTCAGGTGCTTCAAACGGAACAACTTGCACAAAAGTAAACGATATTTAATCCAGCGTGCACCATCTCATGTTATGGAGATGTAAAAAATGAGGAGAGAGGTGACTCAGCTCTGAATCAGGCCTGAACCTGTTCCTTGTGAACCTGTTCCTTGTGAACCTGTCCAGACATCAAACAATCTTGAAATTTAACACATCCCAGCTATATTGATCTGCACTCACTTGTTATACCCTTTGAGGGCCCATGACTTTCTTTACCTAAGTGTTTGTAGAGTTTAAATGCGAGGGCGTTGTTCCTTTTAGAAAGTAATCCGAATCTCATGTCATCAATGTTTGTAACTTGGGGAAAGTTTTTTTTGTTTTTTTTCTTATCTTCCTTCTCAATCATAACAATCACTGCAGGGATAAAGGACACTCTGATATCTAGATTTTAATGTTTTCACAAAAAGCTCAAATTTGCATTTGCTTTGACAACCTCCTTGAATTTCTGGGATGCTTGCCATCAAGGATTAAATAGACTTCCTCGGGCTACGTTTTGTTGTCTTTTACCATATGCTGTCTACTTGCAGCAGATAGAGATTAGAGCAGAAAAACGCCTAAAGGAATACAGTCAAAGTTGAACTCATTCTAACAAACCCCAGAGTGTGTTTCTGTTTGCCCCTAATGCCCAAAAGCTACTGACCTGAGTGATGTGATCTGAAGAAACAGACACTTGTTTTTTTCTCGCTTGCGAGGGGCTGAACTCCCCCGTAGGTAGATTCTCCTCGCTGTGAGTCATCGTCGAGCTATTCCAGGTGCTCGCCGCCATACTCTGAGTCGAGCCAGGTGACTCCGGGGCTCTTCAGCAAACCTCTCTGGAAAAAAAACAGGTGCAACCGCGAGGATTCAAACCGCAGCCACAGGTCCGCCGACACATGTGGAAACCTCAGCCGTGACCTAATGTGGAAACATTACAAGCGGCGGTTGCTATTATTCAGATTATTTGCCTCATAAAAGTAAAGTGCCATCGAGAGGGCACTCTAAACTCCAATACTGCTGAGACAGTAAAGCTGTTTGTCCTCACTCACTAATATCCTTTACTCCATATAGGCAACACTTTATCATGCTGGTGGCAGAGAGGAAAAACAATGAATGCATGATACCAATTAGCTTCATAATCGTGCAAGATTTCCCCTTTTACAACAACAATTAACCGCATGACAGATTCCTCAGATAACAACGTGTTAAATGCTTCCCCCTCCAACATGAATATTTGATTTAGCCATTGTGATAATAGTGGGAGGAGAAGGGGAGGGGAAGGAGCAGGAGCTCATTTTGTTCTAAAGCATATGCCTATTAGAGGATGTGTTAAAGAATGTGAGATCAAATATTTGTTAGGTGTGGAGACTGTTGACAGTCACACTGTTGTGTTTAAGTTGTGAATCCCGCAGACGCCAAGTGCAGGTAGATAGCTTGTGGGCGTCAAAAGAATCTCTGTGCTGAAATGATGTCAAGATGAGATTGAATGTGATTTGCTGATTCCCAAGATTCAACAGAACACATTTGAGGCCTGAATTACGTTGTTTATCATATTCAATGCAAATAAAATGTGCCTTTGCCACATCCTATTTTACTTTGGCTGCCTACCCGTTTCACTGAACTGTGAAATATTGTAAAGAGGATGTGAAATGCAATCAGATCTTTCCCAAAAGTCAACTAAAATGAAAATATTTGAGGCCTGAATTAAGTGATTTATCATTTTCAGTTCAAATCAAAGCGACAACTAACACGTCATTTCGTTGTCGATGTAAATACCCGTCATTCTTTTCCCCCAGGCCCAAGGGGATGTTTGGAATTGCTTGTTACATCTGACAGTCCAAACCACAAACAGCTTACTTCGATGTATGACAAAGAAAATAAGTAAATCCTGACATTTGAGGAGCTGGAAGTTGGCCTTTTTGTTTGAAAAATGACTAAAAAGATGAATCAATGAATAAAATAGTTGTGCTTTAAATTTTTTGTCAATTAAATAATTGTTTAATCGACTAATTAGCTGAAACATGATTTTGCCTCTTGAGCTGTCTGTTCATTTCATGTGGATGCTCATCCTTGTGATATTCTACTCTCATTAAAGCCTGAATTCATGATACTCTTTGTTTTTTATCATGTATTTTATATCACATGTAAAATAAATGTCCTCACTCTGCACAGACAAGTGCTTGGGGGCGTTTTAAAAACCCAGAGCAGCCTCAGAGAGCAGTGGGTTAGACGTAAAGCAGGGCACAGCTCTCAGAAACATGCTGACTTTATGGTGAATCAGGGAGTATGATTTCTTTATGACCATCAAGTGGAACAAATAAAGTTAAGGGCGCCCTCTGAGGTCTGATTGTCCTAGCCGGGAAGTGATCCCCAGCCCTCCTCTCTCTCCCCGCCACATCAGAAGGGAGATGATTGTGTATTCCTCTTTACTCCGACCGCCTGGAGGAATTTTTGCCTGTTTATTGAGCTCCCGCATCTTGTTAAAGACTATTCTCTTTCATTTCTGCCGTCTCCTCAAGTGACTGGGCAGCTACTTAGAATGGCACTGCTTTTTCAGCTGGAGGTGCATATTCTCCAGATAATACGGTTTGCCTCTAATTGTGAGCCGTCCTTTGCATCGGCGCTCAATTTGTTGATAAATTGGATTCATGCAGATCGAGCGAGCGTGATTTAATCACCGGGGAAAATAGATTGCTCTGAAGCTCTGCTGCTGTCTTGTAGTCGTATGTGTTTATCCCATTAAAAGTAAAACGATTCAATGTTGAGGGGCTGAAAAAGAAATATCATTTTAGTCAGAAAAAGAAGGAGATGACTGCCTGTTCGATGTGCGGCAGGCTGCATTCGTGCACAGAGAAAAGACTGCTGACCCTCACATGTAGGTCATAAATGATTTTTGTTCGGTGTGTCATTACGAGCACTGAAGTGAAGAGTCCAGCAGACACAGACTGTGTTGTCCTAATCAATAGCTCTCTGGTCTCTTTTTGTTGCCTCCTTGTCGAGCAGAGGTCAGCTGTCAAAAGATCCTGTGATCATATTTACTTGATTGTATTTCCTCCTTAATATTCAACCCACAAAACCCCATGACAGCAGCCGTAAAAGAACATCTCTGTTAACAACACGGCCCTTTGTGACCACTGATGGTTTGACTGACTGAAAGTTGTCCTTTGTATGAAAAGTTTTCACTCTAACAGTTTTATTTAATTAAAAAAATGATCTAGCATTTATAAGCAGTATATAAACAATTAAAATATTGCGGCTGTAAGCAGAGATAAGGACATTTTTATGTGCTCATTATTCAAGTGCATCGCCCTACTATTTAAAGTCCATGGCTCATTAAATGTAGGACTATCTCTGTTTTGCCTGCAGGTTTTTGTCTGTCTAAGTAATATTAAAATATGAATATCCACAAGTTGACACATCTTAATAAGTGATTTAAAGGTTTAACCTCTAGAATGCCACCAGCATCCAAAGCTGAGATGACACGAGAGACAATTCAGAGAGGAGACGGACAACTTGCCGTCAATTTCTGTGTCACGTGGATTTCGCCTATCGTCTATTGACTCCAATGGAAGAAGTGAACATGAACACAGATTATGACAGATTATTTTGCTCCATAGTCATCCAAGTAGAGTAGTTGTAAAGTAGTTGGTCCCATTTTTCACAAGCCACATATCTCACCGACATTCTGACACTAAAATGACATTTTTCAAACACACAAATCAGGAGAAAAGTAACGTTGTTCGAGACCTTTTCTCTGTCTCAGCAACACACTCACGAGATCTGGCAACTAACATTAGTGAGCTAAATGTGGCTGTTAGCTGTGTAAATATCTAATGTTAGCAAAAGAAAACATAAATTCATTATGCAAGTATGCTTTCATTCATCAACAATTCCAAACAAGGTGTGTGGGAAGACTCAGAGCTCGTTATGCGTCATCTTTGTTAGAGAGCATCTTACAGCTACTCTGCTAAGCTGGTTAGTGTGTGTGTGTGTGTGTGTGTGTGTGTTAAGAGTTTATATTTAAGTATTGACTGATAAACCAGTGCGGCATTTTATAACCTGCGGAGTTTTTTTAAAATATCCTTTGTTGTGAAATTGTGATAAATTACAGTGGGATGGTTTTAGTCTTGTGGTTCGATCATCTTTGCTTTGGCAACGGAGGCGCATGTACATGTAGAGCTCCCATAAATTTCGCTACATTTTTGTCTTTATTTTATTTAACTGTTTGTTGTGTTACAAAAGGGCTATCACTGAATATCGTTGTGCATCCCTGTGTTGCATAATGACAATAAATGATCCTTGACTCCTTGAATGTCGTTCCAATTTGAATTCAGTATAACCCTCTTGAACTTTCAGAGCATTTTTCCATAATAACATATTCAGTACAATCTCAAAACATGCAAGATGAGCTGCATGCGTACAGATTTTAATGACGCCACATGATTAGATTCATTTGGATTTCTCTTTCAACATGCAGCTCTCCAGAGTTTTGAGTCCTTTCCATCCGGGTGACAGAGTTTTCAAATAATGTTCTGACAGGCACTTCTGAATGGTTGTCATTTTCACAAAGTGATGCAGGAGAGTTTGATGTGAAGCCACTGTCACACTTAGTGGGGAGAACCTGCTTTTAATTTGAATAATAATGATGGCATTCTTTGAAAAGTGGATGCAGCAAATTGCTCATTTTTAATCCTTTTAGACCTCAGAGCTGCCTTTGACACCGTTGATCATCCAATTTTAAATTGAACGCCGTAAGCACATGGGTGTTATTACCTGCCCTGCGCTTGACTGATTCATCTCCCTCCACT